TCTCTGCTTTTTGAAATAATACTTTTTATAAAAAAATATTGGACCGTTATCCTGTTTCGCTATGACACCAGAATCCTCTGCCTTTTACGTTTGGGATTCAAAACATCAGAATAATTTGGATCCCAAATAACTTGGGTCATCGTCATCTGCCATGAATATTTATACGCCGCTTTTCTGCAGATTTGTGCCCAAAGTGGCTCACGACATATCAGAGAAACAATACATGCAAACTCCGGAGAACATACCGAGAACAATTAAAAATGTCAGCGGCGTCAGTAGACGCAGAAAGCAAATCCGTGCAGCTTCATATAAAACAGTACGAATAGCCTAAATCAACAGCCTAAAACAAAACAGGTGGGAAGGTAGCGTTGAACAGAGAAATGCAACATTAGTGTACATAGTGATGGAGAGTTATCGAGTCAATAATATCCTGATGAAAGAGCTCTGGAGGACTCCCTAAAAGAAAATGTGATGAAAATTATGTATAGATGGTATATTACACCTGTCAAGTTAGCAAAAATGTATAAAGTCAGTAATAAATGTTGGAAATGTAAAGAAAAAGAGGGAGCATTTTATCACATGTGGTGGGAATGTAAAAAGGTGAAATGCTTCTGGGAGATGATATATAATGAGATGAAAAAAATGTTGAAATATACATTCATAAAGAAACCAGGGCATTACTGGGCATTGTGGGGAGTGATATAAATAGAAAGAAATGTAAGCTCCTTTTATATACAATAACAGCAGCAAGACTATTACTGGCCCAAAAATGGAAGCAAGAAGAATTACTGATGATTGAAGAATGGAGGATGAAGTTCATGGACTATGCAGAACTAGATAAACTAACAGGAAGGATTCGAAACCGGCGGGACCAGAAATTCACGGAAGACTGGAGTAAATTTACGGACTATTTGAAAAGTATTTGTGAAGATCAGACGACGTTTGTAGGGATGCAAGAAGTTTTGTGAGGAGTATTATTGGAAGTATTGCAAAAATGGAGAAGTGGGAGGATGATTTGTTAAAAGATGTAAAGGCAATATAAAGTTAAGAAATGCATAAGAAGTGGTTAAAATGGTGGATCATCAGAGGTGCTGATGGAAGTCTAAAAAGATTATATAAGTGAGAAGTTTTGTGGTACATTTTATAATTTATATGTTAAAATCAATAAAAAAATTTTTAAAAAGAGAGCTCTGGAGGACCTGAGAGCTTGCACACTTTTTTCGGTAACATTTCCTTTGGTCCCCACAAGAGGCTCCAGAATTTCCTCCAGCTGCCTGTGGTTCGGCGGGAGTTCCTCTGGCCTCCGGGCCCCGCAGTCCAGCAAATTATTTATTTGCGAGGCTGTCCTAGGAGCGGTGCACTTGGCCATGCGGCAGATTAGTCAGCGAGCGGATCATTTGCATAGCAATGAGTCCCTTTGGGACTGCCACTCCGAGACGCTCGCTGGTTGCCACACAGGCTCCTCAAACCCCTTGATAATCCTCCAGCTCTGCCGGTAACCTGAAACTGACGAGAGGATATTTTACAAAGGAATAATAACTCCTTAAAGCAAATATTATTCTGTCAGGATAGTACGAGCATGGCGAAGTAAATCCAGATGTTGCCGAGACAGGATTACAGCAACTATAACCTTTTCCTGTTTAAACAGCCAGCCTCCTGGTGCACCCAAGTTAAGCAATAAGGGTGTGAGGTTCTTCCTCTTTGTTTCTCTTTATAATAATAAAAATAATAAAAAGTTCTCAGATGGTTTAGATCAAATGGCTTAGTCCTTATCAGATAAATGCATTAAAATCCGGTTTATTTATGGAAGTAAATATACATGGCCTGCCCTTTGGAAATTGACTTTGAAAGCGACGTGGAAAAAGCTGCTCCCAATCGCATCTTATAAACCATTTTATTTCTTCTCTCTCTCTCTCTCTCTCTCTCTCTCATTTTGAAGAGGATGCCAGGAGAAAGGAGACTATTTTAATATCTGAAATGGGCTTTGAAGTGTATGGGTTTAGAAATGGCTTTCTCGTGAACTTCCTGTGGTTGCAAAATATCCCGCAGTGTAATCTTTCTTTTCGTTGTTGATTGGGTCAGAGGCAAACAACTGAACTGAACTGTTTCAGCACTGAGTCTTAATGTTAGGAGCGTTCACACATTGCATTCAATAAGTGTACAGGCAGCGTACCTGGGCACACAATACTTGACTTACACACTTGTACTGTTATTATCATATAATCTTCAGCAAGCGTAGAGTCACACACACACACACACACACACACACACACACACACGCGTGTGTGTGTAGAGGTACACATGTAGAGATAGATTGTACCTGTGTTCAGTGTGTGAACAAGGCTATTGGGAGTAAATAATAATCTTGAAGGCTGCAATGAATCTCCATATTATTGCTTTGATCATCACCATCATGTCTCCAATTAAACGACTGCGTGATTTATTTATTTATTTATTTATTTATTTATTTGTGGAAATTTTATTTACAACATAACATAAACCCTCCACTCCCCCAGTACACCCTCATTAAACACGAACATAACAAACAATAAGCATAACATACAACAATACAAACAACCAAATAAAAGACTTCCTTTATCCTCTATCTGGCCTCCTTATTTACTTCTTATAAGCTGCTTCCTTTATGAATTATTAAGATTTTTCTAATTATAACTTAAATATCCACAAAGTCTCCTGCAGACATTAATCGAAACAAGTCCAGGTATGAATTTGAGGGCACTGTTTTGTGAAGTATTCTCTGCATTTCCCCATGCCTTTTGAAACTCTTGTCTAGTGTGATCTCTAATTGCCTCTGTTAATCTAGCCAGCTCAATAACAGTTTGTTTTGCTATTCCAGAACTTGATAACAACTGCATAATTTAATATAGCTAACAAAATATAATAAAACCAACATAATATCATGCCGATTTTTTTAAATAAAAAAAAATTAACCTGATAACAAGCTTAATGAGCAGCTATGTTCATCAGAGCAGCAAAACCTGGGGAATGCATGGGCTCTTTCCTGACAGGCTGCCCAATTTTAGGGATTCCTAACAATACTGAAAGAAAAGTACAGTGGTGCCTCGCAAGACGAAATTAATTCGTTCCGCGAGTTTTGTCGTCTTGCGATTTTTTTCGTCTTGCGAAGCACGGTGTCGGGAAAGTTTTGGAAAAGCTTCAAAAATCACCAAAGTCTTTAAAAACCTCAAAAAAGGCTACCACACCGCGTTCTATGAGTTGCTTCTCAAAGTCAAGTCGCAACTCTCTGAACGGCGTTAACAACACCGAAACAAACTTGCAAGACGTTTCCGTCTTGCGAAGCAAGCCCATAGGGAAAATCGTCTTGCGAAGCAGCTCAAAAAACGGAAAACCCTTTCGTCTAGCGAGTTTTTTGTCTTGCGAGGCATTCGTCTTGCGAGGTACCACTGTACAGCAGGATCAGACCAGAGGTTGATCCCCTTCCAGCATCCTGCTTTCATTAGTGACCCGTCAGACAATTGTGAGAAGCCCATGGGTGAAGCCTTGACTTGGAAGACACAGGCATTTAGATTATGGTTGCCAACACGGTGCTTCTGGGCACACGAGTCCCCGCAGAGCCCTTCCCTCGTGCTGGGTATGTGATGTCAGTTTGCAAATGCGCCCACAACCACCAAAATGGTTGGCAACCCCTGCTTTCAAGATAGGCTTGCTGGGTGCTAAGGAAGTAAGAATGGCCTCCGTCACAGACCTGCATGTTGCGAAAGGGCATGCATTAATAATAATAATACAGTGGTACCTCTGGTTACGTACTTAATTCATTCTTAACCTGAAGCTGTTCTTAACCTGAAACACCACTTTAGCTAATGGGGCCTCCTGCTGCCGCCGCGCCGCCGGAGAACAATTTCTGTTCTCATCCTGAAGCAAAGTTCTTAACCCAAGGTACTATTTCTGGGTTAGTGGAGTCTGTAACCTGAAGCGTATGTAACCTGAAGCGTCTGTAACCCGAGGTACCACTGTAATAATCGTAATCATAATAATCATAATCATAATTTATTTATTATTTATACCCCGCCCATCTGGCTGGGTTTCCCCAGCCACTCTGGGCGGCTTCCAACTGAATATTAAAAACAATACAGCATCAGACATCAAAAACTTCCCTAAACAGGGCCGCCTTCAGTTGCCTTTTAAAAGTAAAATAGTTGTTTATTGCCTTGCCATTTGCTGGGAGGGCGTTCCACAGGGCAGGCGCCACTACCGAGAAGGCCCTCTGCCTGGTTCCCTGTAACCTCACTTCTCACAGCGAGGGAACCGCCAGAAGGCCCTCGGCGCTGGACCTCAGTGTCCGGGCTGGATGATGGGGGTGGAGACGCTCCTTCAGGTATACTGGGCCGAGGCCGTGTAGGGCTTTAAAGATCAGCACCAACACTTTCAATTGTGCTAGGAAACGTACTTGCAGGACAAAACAGCAGCAACAACCAGGTCCTGTCTGCCCAGTGGCAAAGTGCAGTCGTAAGCAGATGTCGGACAATACGGCTGTTTCCTGCTTTCTGCTGACTCTGTGGCCGGTCAAAGCTGCTCAGACCCTACAAAGCAGCTTGCTGAAATCATCAGGCCGGACAGTGAACAGAATGAAAAAGCAACTGAGCCATAGTCCTTCAGTTTGGGGTAATGGGATGCTGCCAACGCGCCGTTGTTTCCCTTGACAGCTTCCTGATCATGTCCTTTCCTATACCTGGAGTACGTCGAGGACAGTTCCCCATATCCAGGGGTGGCCTGGTCTGTGCACACACCAATGCAGAATGTGGCGCTGGGTGCAGAATTCAGCTTTTGACTTCCATGTTTAAAAAATAAAGTTTCTAGCCCCTGTGGTTTGGGATGCTTGGGAGTGTGCCGGGGAATGCCCAGTGAAATCTCAGGTGATGCTGCAAAGGGTATCCTTCAGCCAATAGACCTTCAATGCTTTCTATAGCTACTTGCCATTCCCAAGCAGAAGAGGTGGTGCAGGTTAATGTTGAAGCTGTGACATAGCTCAGTTGGTAGAGCGTGAGACTCTTCACCGCAGGGTCATGGGTTCAAGCCCCACATTGGAAAAAATATTCCTGCATTGCAGGGGGTTGGACTAGATTCTATGATTCTAGGTGCTGAGTGGCATAATAATAATAATAATAATAATAATAATAATAATATATTATTTATACCCGCGCATCTGGCTGGGTTTCCCCAGCTACTCTGGGCTGCTCCCAACAAAATATTAAAAACATGAGAAAACATCAAACATTGAAAACTTTCCTAAACAGGGCTGCCTTCAGATGTTTTCTAAAAGTCAGATACAGTGGTACCTCTGGTTGCGGACATGATCTGTTCCGGGGTGCCATTCACACCCCAAAAAGTCTGCAATCAGAGCGGGGCTTCTGCGCATGTGTGAAGCACAATAGAGCGCTTCTGCGCATGTGTGAAGCACAATAGAGCGCTTCTGCGCATGTGCGAACCACGCAGAACTCTTCTGTATGAGCACACGTGGCAAAACCCAGGTTCTTAACCCGAAAAACGCAACATGAAGCGTTCTCAAGAAGAGGTATGACTGTAGTTGTTTATTTCCTTGACATCTGTTGGGAGGGCACCACTACCGAGAAGGCCTAGTTCCCTGTAACCTCACATCTTGCAGTGAGGGAACTGCCAGAAGGCCCTCGGCGCTGGACCTCAGTGTTCGGGCAGAACGATGGGGGTGGAGACGCTCCTTCAGGTATATGGACCAAGGCCGTTTAGGGCTTTAAAGGTCAGCACCAACACTTATAATTGTGCTCGGAAATGTACTGGGAGCCAATGTACGTCTTGAGGAGTTTCTTGTTTTCCTTTTAGCCACTGAGCACAGCCTGATATGAATTATCTGATTTAGTTTCCTTCAGGGTATCATCAGTCCATTCTTTGCCTTTGGCTCAGTTACGGCCTTTCTGCTTCGTATTTGCCTGACTCCATGGTACTGATTCTGCCCTTCTCTAATAATGATTTTATTATGCCAGTCACAGCAGCCATGGATGCTCTCTTAGAACTGCTCTCTTTTTTTGCGCATCAGGGAAAGCTCAGATTGCACAATAGAGTTTGGTGATCTTGGGCCAAAAATGAGATGGATGGATGTAGCCTGTGGAATGGAGCGGGAAGAGGCGCCGAGCTCTCCTCCAATTTTGCTTTTAAATGGCTCCGGACAGAGAAAAATGAAACATTTCCCTGGGAACAATAAGTTTGGCCATCTGGATAGCTTTTTTTTTTTTTTAAGAGGTATTTGTTTTATTTTATTAAATGCACAATCTGCTCCACAGAAGAGTTCCTTCAAACAGTTTTCTCCTGGCATGTCCGTCAACAAGCTAGCTTTATGTCGTTGTTATTGCTGCTGCTGCTGTTATGAGACAAGGAGTGGGAAAAGTTGGTTTCGTTGTTAATTTAACCCCATGATAAGTTCTTAGGCAGTTCTGCATTTGCATATAATAAAATTGATTCATTTATGTGAATAGACAGTGGTTGGGGAGCTGCCCCAACTTCCTCAAATGTTAGACAAGAGATTATTTGAAGAGAGTTCAGAGTTAATTATGTTGTTTCGGCTCCAAGCCCTAAAAACAGAATGCCCGTTTATGGCAGGGTACTGAACTTGCAGAAAGCACCTCTCCAGAAAGAGAGTTCCTTCCTTTAAATTCCTAGGAGTTTATCTCAGTGAAGACCTTACTTGGAAAATAAATATAACCCAGGTGGTTAAGAAACCCCAACAGAGACTCCATCTCCTCAGAGTATTGCGAAAGAACGATGTCAATCAACATTTGATGATCTCCTTCTACCGGTCAACAATAGAAAATGTCCTTTCATACTGTATCACGGTGTGGTACGCTGGTTTGACATCAACTGATAGGAAGTGCCTACAGAGGGTGGTGAATACAGCACAAGGTATTATGGGCTGTCCCATGAATCTGCTGGATGACATCGTGGAAGAACGTTGCCTCAGGAGAGTGAGGAAAATTCTCAGGGATAATTCACACCCTGGCCGGCACTTTCTTGATCTCTTGCCCTCTGGCAGAAGATATAGAAGCATGATTAGTCGCACCAACAGGGTAAAGAACAGCTTCTATCCGTGGGCTGTTAGGCTGCTGAATGAAAAGATAACAACAGGGCAACTGACTTTTGGGTTTGGTGGATGTGCGTCAGTAAACGCGGGGAATTAAAACTAAGAGCTGAGTGGAGGGTGCTCGTGTAATCTCACTGTATACAAGTTGTACAAGTGACAATAAAGTATTTCAATTTCCAGACATAAATTTTATTGTGTATAGCTGATTATTTGAGCATGATGGTGAATATCGTGGTGGTCATACATCATCTCATTGCCAAAAGTTTTGGGGCAGACATACTGCTTTGTTTCTTCCGATCAGTGATTGTTCCATAACTTCTTGCTGAAATCCAGTAATTTTTCTTTTTTGAGCCCCACTTTTGTTCCATTGTAGTGCACAAGTGCCCCTCCAGAGGGCAATAATGCAAAGAGCACTGGGGAAGCATCATAGAAGGGAATGATATAAGTATTGCTGGTCCAATGTAAATCTACCACTAACCCACTATTGTTGCATCAATGTTGCAGAATATCAAAATGGCTAGGAGAGGCCTTTTGCACTTTCCCCATTGATTTGGCACCTCCTATGTAGGAATTGGACGCGGGTGGCGCTGTGGGTTAAACCACAGAGCCTAGGACTTGCTGATCAGAAGGTCGGTGGTTCAAATCCCGCGATGGGGTGAGCTGCCATTGCTCGGTCCCTGCTCCTGCCAACCTAGCAGTTCGAAAGCACGTCAAAGTGCAAGTAGATAAATAGGTACCGCTCCGGCGGGAAGGTAAACAGCGTTTCCGTGCGCTGCTCTGGTTCGCCAGAAGTGGCTTAGTCATGCTGGCCACATGACCCGGAAGCTGTACGCCGGCTCCCTCGGCCAATAAAGCGAGATGAGCGCCGCAACCCCAGAGTTGGCCACAACTGGACCTAATGGTCAGGGGTCCCTTTACCTTTTTATGTAGGAATTACGTTTGATAAGAATTTGTCGAACTGAGATAACTAACCTGATTAATTCCAGCAAAAATGTATACGTTATTTGAATTGCACAATTAATGCTGCACTCATAAAGATGAATCATAAAATCATAGAACTGCATTGGAAGGGAACCCGGGGGTCATTCAGTCCAACCCCCTGCAATGCAGGAATCTCAACTAAAACATCCATGACAGATGCCCATCCAACTTCTGCTTAAAAACCTCCAAGGAAGGAGAGTCTACAACCTCGCAAGGGAGTCTGTCCCACGGCTGAACAGCTCTTACTGCCAGAAGGTTATTCCTGATGTTTAGTCAGAATCTCATTTCTTGTACAGTGATACCTCGGGTTAAGAACTTAATTCATTCTGGAGGTCCATTCTTAACCTGAAACTGTTCTTAACCTGAAGCACCACTTTAGCTAATGGGGCCTCCCACTGCCGCCGTGCGATTTTTGTTCTCATCCTGAAGCAAAGTTCTTAGCCTGAGGTACTATTTCTGGGTTAGCGGAGTCTGTAACATGAAGCGTCTGTAACATAGCTGTCAATGTTTTCCCTTTTTTAAAGGGAAATTCCCTTATTCCGAATAGGATTCCTCGCAAGAAAAGGGAAAAGTTGACAGCTATGGTCTGTAACCTGAAGCATCTGTAACCCGAGGTACCACTATTCGTAACCACTGGTTACGAACACTTCTGGTTATGAATGCTTCAGGTTACGAGCTCCGCTAACCCGGAAGTAGCTGCTCCTGGTTGCGAACTTTGCCCCAGGATGTGAACAGAAATTGGGCACAGCGGGAGGCCCCATTAGCAAAAGCGCACCTCAGGATAAGAATGGTTTCAGCTTAAGAATGGACCTCCGGAACGAATTAAGTTCGTAACCAGAGGTACCACTGTGTTATGTACTGAGTTGAATAGGATCCAAAAGGCAGCAGTCTGATTGGTCCTAGAACAATAGGATTCAGAATGCAGCAGCCTGATTGGTCGTAGAACAATAGGATTCAGAATGCAGCAGCCTGATTGGTCCTAGAACAATAGGGTCCAGAATGCAGCAGTCTGATTGGTCCACAGGAGCCACCCAATCCAGCTCCAGGTGGAAGTGAATCTGCAACCTGATTGGCCTACAGGTGAATCCCAGAATTAGCCAATCACGTGGGGCCCATTGTGTAAATAATGTATATAAAGCAGACATTCTGGGGGAACTTCCATTCCTCCTCACTACTATGAGCTGAATAAAGAGCGTGAAATCCACTCTCAACTCCGAGTATATTTCACACAATCTCTTGGTATAAGAGTCCTACCCTCCAGAGCAGGAGAAAACAAACTTGCCCCATCTTCCACGTGACAGTCCTTTAGATATTTGAAGAAATTTAACTCTGGTTTCCAGTAAAAATTCAATTGACCATAACAATGATGATCACAATGCCTTGCCCAAATACCTCTATGCACCCAAAGGAAATCCCGCTAAATCAATCCGCTTTGCACAGCAGAGCAATAGGTTCGTGAAATCACAGCGTTGCTCTAGCAACCTTCTTATCAGGTGGCTTAATCACACTTGCATAATCCTCTCGCATTGTGTCCCTTCTGTTTATCAGGCACATAATAGCACAAAGCAGAGCGAAAGAGAACTGAGGCTGAAAGAACCCCTGAGGGGGAAAATATCAACCCACAAGTGTAAAATAAGGAACTGTATGTTTGGTTGTTGTTTTTTTTTAAAAAAAAGCTGTTTTAAAAGAGCAACGTGTTTTGTCCTGTGTCATCACTCAAATAGATTTCTAGGTCAGGTGGACTGGGAGGCCCTAGATATTACTGCAAATGTTATAATACAGTTTCAAGCACTGTTCTGACAACCTCTGTGCAATATCCTAACCACAAATAAACAAGTTAGAGAGAGCCTCACAAAAACTCTCCGAAACTACTTCAAAGAAAATGATGTCGATACATATAACAGCCCCCCTGCTACGGGACGCAATGAAGCAGTCGCCAGAGGAGCTTTCATAAAAGAGAAAGCATCCCTTTAAAAAAAAAAACCTCCTCAAAAACCAGCA